GTGGGGTGTCGGTGGGGTTGCTGGGCTGTGAGGGGGCGGGGAAGGTGTGTGTGTTGGGGCACTAGGGAGTGGGGGTTCTGTGGTGGGTGCTGGGCTGTGAGGGGGCGGGGAAGGTGTGTGTGTTGGGGCACTAGGGAGTGGGTGTTCTATGTGGGGTGCTGGGCAGTTGTGGAGCTGTGTGCAGGGGTGGTGTTGTAGGGCGCTGTGCATTTGTGGCAGGGTCTGGGGGGCGCTGGGGGGGCGCTGGGCATAGCGGGTCTGGGGGGGGCCCTCTGGTCATAGGGAATCAGGGGTGGGGGTGTTCCGGTGTTGGGTGTGGGGGGATGTGTGGTGTGGCGTGGCATGTCCCCCCTCCCCCGAGGGGAAGGGACATGCTGGCAGCACAGGGCCAGGTGGGCCACTGTGCGTCTGGCAACTGCCGGTTTGTAAACAGTGCCCTACACTGGGCTGAGCGGAGCGGGGCAGCCCTCTCCATGCCATGCCCCATTGCCCCTGGCTGGCCCCTTGCTCCGGGGATGGACCCCCCGTCCGCCATGTTCCAGTGCCCCCATGTGAGCCCACAAAACGTTAATCTGTCCCTGTCTCCACCCCAGCACGGCATCACTGCTGGGAGCCTAGAGCCAAGGCCTGGGGACCCCATGGCCACACCCACCCCTTTGGGCTCCTTATTTTAATATTAACAAGGTAGCCATGCCCCCCTGAGAAAGTCTGGACACCTGCAGCCATGATAGCCCCATGAATCCTGCTTCCAGGGCCCAACCCCACCCCAACGGGTATGGGCCTGGCCCCCACCCAGCCAAGAGATGGTCAGAGCTCGGGACCAGCTGGGCCTCCCTTGTGTGTGGGAGTGACAGAGAACGAGGTTCCTGATGGGGGGTGGAATCTTGGGGTAACCTGATTACAACTGTGACGCTCGGATGCTACGGTGATAAATCGACCGTGTCTGCTGCTTCCTGCCCAGTCCAGCGGCAGCTGCCCATCTGTCCCCTGAGTTTGACCCGGAAGGCTGGAGACCCTCATCTGGATGGCCCAGGGGGCTCTGCATCAGTTGCCTTCAATGACTCAAGTCACTAGATTAGACGTTAGGGAAACCGTCCTGCCAGGGTAGTTAAGCACTGGAATAGATTGCCTAGGAGGCTGGAATCTCCGTCACTGGAGGTTTTGAAGAGCAGGTTGGACAAACCCGTGTCAGGGGTGGTCAGATAATACGTAGTCCTGCCTCCGTGCAGGGGACTGGTCTAGAGGACCTCTCCGATCCCTCCCAGTCCTACGTTTCCAGGCTCCCCTGGAGCCCTACAGGCAGATACATTACTAACACTGAACGGGGCGGTGTGTGCAAGGCCAGTGATCTGGGCGGCTGGGGGATCTGCCTGCTCGCGGCTGCAGGCGCACGGGCTGCGGTTACATAGCAGCCTTTCCATTGTCACTAGTCCAGACAATGCTGACCCTGCTCTCTCGCTGTTCTGTTCCCCAGTAAACCCAGGGTACTGCCAGGAGGCCCCACCCGGCACGGTGACAATCTGCCTTGCGAAATGCAGTAACGACAGGGAATGTGGAGCGGGCAGCAAGTGCTGCAGCTGGGGATGCCTTCTGCTCTGCGCACGGGCGGTGCCAGGTAATGCTGCACCTGGGAGCGGGGGGGGGGTCAAAGGGAGGGGTACTTGGTAATTCAAACTGCTAGACAAGTGGGGCCGGGTCTGAGCATGGGCCAGGGAGGGAGGTGGGGTAAGTGACAGAGCTGGGACAGGCAGGGGAATGACTGGAGAGGGTTTAAGGCCCATGGGCATGCAGCTGAGCGTGGGGTGGGAGGGTCTGGGTGGAAGCAGCAGAGACCAGTCCTGGAGAGGAGCAGACCAGGACTCCAAGGAAAAGCCTTGGCCAGAGGTCACTCTTGGGCCTGGCTCAGGTCCGTGGTGCAGGCCTGTGGGTTTGGGGTTTGTTCCCCACGGAGACATGAGCTGTTGTTGTTTCCCTTTTCCAGCCCATCCGGGCACCTGCCCCAAGAGGAGAGTGCTGCAGACGTTCGCGCCGTGTGAGAATAAGTGCAGTGACGACAGGGACTGTCCCACCAGGCAGAAATGCTGCTTTACTGGCTGTGGCCTCGGCTGTCTGTCCCCTCAGACAGGTACTAGCAGCAAAGAGAGAGGGGCCTGTGGAGCCCCCAGCCCCACAGCACTTGCCAGGCATCCTGTGGGCCAGAGACATCCCCACTCCCCCTCCAGTCTGGGTTCACTGGTCTGAGCTCCCTTGCCGATCTCTGCCCATCTCCTCTCTCCAGGTGACATTTGCCAACTCCCACCTGAGAGGGGCCCTTGCAGGGGACAGATTCCGCGCTTCTTCTACAACCCGGCCTCCAGGACGTGCGAAAGCTTCATCTACGGCGGCTGCCGGGGCAACGGGAACAACTTTAGAACTCTCCTGGAGTGCCAGCAGGCCTGCAGGAAACGCGGTAAGGGGACCGAGCGCGTGAACCCGCTCGCATGGGCTGGGACAGACTGAGAATTAACACAACTGCCAGCAGGACTGGTCCCCAGGAGTCCAGGGTGGGAAACGGGACTAAATAAAAATAGCTTGCTCGTTCTGGGGGCTGGATTCTAGCCCTGCTGTGGGAGGTCAGGGTTGGGGAGACAATCATGAAAATCAGTTAAAAAAATGTTTGGCATACGAATCTGTGCCACAAGTCTTCATAAACAGCCCTGGCTGTACCTTGAAGGAGCCCGGCATGGAATGGCCATGAGCAGTCATATGCACGTGTCGATTGAGGGTTTACATACACAGTCCGTAACTGTTAGCATTGGGGTTTGCAGTTGCACATACGTTTTGTCTGCCTAACCTTAGTTTCTGAAAATCCGGCCCTAACCGTTCTTCAACTAATATGTAAATGATGTGACCATTAAGAAACGGGTTTTCATGGGGTTTGGATATGCACACAGCTCTCACGCCCTGAGCCCCATCTCCCACCCCAGCTGGAGACTGGGTCCCAGTTAGATTTGAACGTGGAGGCTGAGATCCTTCAGGGAGTTCTCCCTTTCTTCCAAACCTGCCTCTCCGTGCTCTGTAGCTAAAGTGACCGCACGGCCCATGTTCAGCCCGCAGTCACAGCTACTTCTACGACTCAGTCACCAAGACGTGTGACGAGTTCATTTATGGCGGCTGCCAGGGCAATGGGAACAATTGGGCACTGGAGCCGAATGTCTCAGGACCTGTGGAGGAGCCGGGAGGCTGTGTCTACACTACCACTTTTGCTGGTATAATTTATGTTATTCAGAAGTGTGAAGAAACACCCTCCTGAGCGAGATCACTGTCACTGACAGAAGTGCCAGTGTGGACAGCGCTATGTTGGCAGGAGTTGCTGTCCTACCGCCATAGTTCCCACCACGCGTTGGGGATGGTTAATTGTGCCAACGGCAGAGCTCTCTCCTGTTGGCACAGAGCAGCTCCACGAGCGATCTGACAGCGGCACAGCTGCGTTGGTACAGCTGTGCTGCTGTAAGTTGCTGTTGCGGA